TCTTAAGGCGCTCCCACAGACGGAACATAGGGTACCCTGGATGTCCTCCTGCCAGACATAGTTAACCATAGCTTTGACTTTAGGATTATCCGCCCAGTGGGAATTAGATCGGAAAAGAGGGCGGCTATTCCGAGCATAAGGCCTATCAGAGAGGAGGAGAGCTCTATGATCAGAGCCTTTATCCGTAAAATGCTTGACCAAGGTTCCAGGGAACCGGTCAATCCAGGTCTGGGAACAAAGGGCCTTGTCCAATTTTTCACGAATACAGGCAGTACCCATCCTCTTATTCTTCCAAGTGAATTGGTCACCTTTGTAGCCAGGATCATGGAGACCCAAATCATGAATAAAGTCCTGCAGGCTGGCAGAATTATTAGCATTCCACGGATTACCACCATCCTTTTCACTCTCATGAAGGGTAGTGTTAAAATCTCCTATAAATATTTTGTTTGTTTATGATTTAATAGTACGAGAATAATGGAACCAGTTTTTTTATTTTATTTGTTTAGTAGTTCTGTAAATAATTAAAGGTATTCTCGCCATTAAGAAAAGCCTTTACATGAAAGTTTCGCTCAACTAATTAAGTTTGGAGAGCAAAGACATTATAGGTAACAATAGTCTAATTTATGAGCACTTCTACTATGCTATATAGTATTGGTGCTTTAATGTACAACTTAAAGTTGTACCATAACATTTAATGTATAAGTTTAGGTTGTTTTTTTTTTTATGACAAGGAGACCCGAGGGCCAAAGAAGAAGAAAATTACAGGGGGGTAGGGGTGATCTGGGGGGAGGGGATGATGCGCCTAGTGAAAGTCACACCTCTAGCATCATCAGAGATAAGCGGGATAGTTCCGTCCGGCGGAGAGGCCAGCTCATACATACCGTAGGGATAGACGAGACTGTGCTTCGAGAGCCAGTCCGCGACTCTATTCCCTTCGCGGTATGTGTGAGCTAGTCTTACCACCCAATCCTGAGCAATCAATCTTTTAATAGCAGCAATAAGGGTCGAGTAGGGGTGAAGAGGATCAGATCTGTTGTTCACCAGTTCTAGAGCAAGGCGCGAGTCAGATTCGACCAGGATAGTTCTGTGTCCACTTCTCCAGGCGACCTGAAGGCCATGATACAGTCCCCATAGTTCTGCCGCTGCAGCAGTGCAAGTTCCCAGGCTAGAGACGAAGCCACAAATCCATCGGCCGACATCATCGCGGAGCACCCCCCCCGCGCCAGCCTTCCCCTGGCTACCTGTTGCAGCACCATCGACATTTAGCTTAAACCAACCAGGGGGCGGCGGAGACCACCCAATCTCAGCTGCAACTCGCTGCTGCCCGCTGTTGCCGTTGCCGATGTCAAAATGCGGCGAGTTCCAGGCCTCGAACCACAGCTTCGCCTTAGTCTTGACTGCGTTGGTGAGGGAAGGGGGAGAAAGGGTCTTTGAAATTCCTTGGAAGCAGCCTTCGTTCCTGTTCTTCCAAATCAGCCAGAGAGCAATGGCAAAAAAGGCGTTCCAAGGCATGCCCATACTCGTGGAGTCTTCGTTGGAGAGGTTATTCTTCAACCACTCTGCGGTTGGGCTGCTGAAGAAAGTGGGCTGGTCTTCCGGCTTCACAAATCTTGTCCATAAGAAGGCTGCTGCTGGGCACTCCCTGAATATGTGGGTAAGAGTCTCCGGGTGATTCGGGCATTTGTAGCAGTCCGCCGACTCAGAGATTTGACGCTGATGGCGAAGGGAATTGGTGCTGATTCTACCAAGCATCACTAACCAGGCAAAGCATCGAATGCGCTCCGGGACGGGAAGCTTCCATATCGTCTTCCAAACCTTTTGGTGAGGTACTGCCGCCGAGTGCTTTAACATCCGGTAAGCACTCTTGACTGTAAATCGCCCGTCCGGGGATGGTTGCCAAAAGAGAGCATCATCTTCAGTTGCCAAAGGGTCCACCGCGATGGCAGTGATGCGATGTTGCACGTCCAGCGGGAGGATTGAGTTGAACTTGTTGATGCGCCAGCTTCCCTCTTCATCAACATAATCCGCAACCTTGGCTTCCTTCTCCTGCTCCGGGATGTCGGCGATCGCCAGCTCTTGGAGGGGGACCTGAGAAATCCATTTATCCAACCAAAAGTTAGTTTTATTCCCTTTATGAATGTTCCAGGCACAGCCCTGCTTGAGCAGAGGAGCCGCCTTAGTAAAACTCGCCCAGGTGAAGGAACTTCCCCGAATTGGTTTGATAAGGTCGATGTGTCTTCTGTTCCCTCCATACTTGCTTCGCATAAGTTGAACCCAGAGAGTGTCTTTCTCATTTAGCAACCGCCAGCATCCTTTGGTCAACATGGCGAGATTGGCGTGTCTGGTGGATCGCAGTCCTGCTCCTCCATTTTCTTTAGGCTCCAAGAGATGAGGCCAGGAGACGAGATGAAGCTTCTTTTTGTCTTCCGTGTCCCCCCAAAAGAAATCTCTGTTGAGACGGTCAATAGACTTGCAAATGGAAGCTGGAAGGAGCTCCATCTGCATAGGATAAACAGGAATAGCAGTAGAAATCGATTTAACGACAGTCATTCGGGCAGCAAGAGAGAGATGCTTAGCTTTCCAAGGAGCCAGCTTCCTTTGGATACGCAAGATCAACTCTTGGTATCTTGCTTTGCTGACTCTGCCATGAATAGCATTCACACCCAGGTATCTCCCAATATCAACCGTCAGCGGGATTGAGGCCCTCCTGCTCAGCCACCTAGCTCGACGCCTTTCGATGTTTGCCGAGACGAAAATGGTGGATTTGTTGTAGTTAACCCGTTGTCCGGAGCTTTGGCAAAATTCGTCCAGGCATTGCTTCACAATTCTGATCTGAGAGCTCTCCGCCTCTGCAAAAAGCACCAAATCATCGGCGAAAAAAAAGGTGAGATAGAGCCGGGCCATCTTTGGATAACCTGATGGGTTTCCATAGCTTATCCCGGATGGCCTGGTCAATTCTGTGAGATAAACGTTCCATACAAAGGATGAAAAGGTAAGGAGAGAGGGGGTCTCCCTGGCGAACTCCTCTAGATGGAGTGATCGGATGGGAGAGCTCTCCATTCCATAAGAGCCGCATGTTGTTCTTCTCGACACAGTACATGATGCAACTGATCCATGTACTTGGGAGCCCGACTTGAACGAGAGTATCTCTAAGGAAATCCCATCTCAGCCGATCGAAAGCCTTCTCTAAGTCTATCTTGATGACAACCCCTCCCTTCTTTCCTTTCCTTTTTCTGAGCGAGTGGAGGACTTCCTGAAGAACGATAATGTTATCTGCTGTCTGCCTGCCGGGGATGAAACTACTCTGGCGGGGGGAGATGAGATGCTTCATGATAGGCTTCAGACGGTTGGCGATCGCTTTGGTAATGGCTTTGAGGCAGACATTATTCAGAGAGATCGGACGCAGCTGAGACACCATCTCGATATTCTCCACTTTGGGGATGAGCACCACGGTCGAGGCCACGGCGCTGTCCGGGAGAGTACCTGTGGAGAAAAAATCCATAGCCATGTCGATTAAACTTTTACCCACTGTCCGCCAGGCTTTTTGGTAGAAAATCGCTTGGAAGCCGTCCGGGCCGGGAGCTTGAAGAGCTTTCATCTCATGGATAGCTTTGTGAATGTCAGATCCTTGGAAGGGCCGAAGGAGCATCAACAAGTCCTCTTGGGAAAGCCTGGGGAAGGCATTCTTTGGCATGAGATCCGAGTAATCAGCAATATCCTGCGTGTACAACAAGGTAAAGAAGTCAAAAACCAATGCTGCAAGATCATCGGGATTCGAAATCCATTCCCCATTTGCTGCCTTAAGGCTCCCAATTTTGTTCCTTCTTTTCCTGATGGAAGCTTGTTGATGAAAGTAGGCAGTATTGCGCTCTCCATAGTGCACCCACTGCTCCCTCGATCGCTGGAACCATAATAGTTCCTCCTGCGCAAGAACCGCATCGAGCTCGGCTTCGAGTTTGGCCTGTAGCTTCAAGAGGCCTGGGGAGAAGAAGTGGCTGGCCTTGTTCTGGATTCCTTGGATTCTCTTCAGAAGTCTTCTTTTCTTCTGGAAGATGTTGCCAAAGGAGTTCCTGTTCCAGAGCTTCAACCTCTCACTTAAGGACTCAAGCGCTTCCGGCAGGGGAATTTGGGGGTTCCAGTTACCTGTGAGAAAGTCAGAAAAAGAATCAGAAGTAAGCCATGCGGCCTCAAAGCGGAAAGGGCGGGAAGGATTCTAGTTGACTCCCTGATTTGTAACCGTGGTAAGCAAAGGATGGTGATCAGAGTGGATGCGGGGAAGATGAGTAACGGTAGAATCAGGGAAGAGGATGTTCCAGCCATCATTACACAGACTTCTATCGATGCGGCTGGCTTTATACGTGGAAGCTTGATCGCCTCTGGTCCAGGTAAACTTGGGCCCCGTAAAACCGAGATCGATGAGGGCTGCATTGTTTATGCGATCGTTGAAGACCTTGCAGCTCCGAAGAGTGGCCGCCGAAGCAGGCCCAGATTTCTCTTCCGGCCCCCTGATGGAGTTGAAATCTCCGGTGAGGAGCCAGGGGAGATCATTCGTCTCGCTGATGCGTTGAATGGAATTCCAAAGGTGTTGCTGGAGGCTCCGGCGCGGGGAGGCATAAACGGCAGTAATTAGGAAAGGCTGACTAAAACCAGTGGAGACCTTAACCGAGAGGTGTTGGAAGCAAGCCGAGGTGAGCTCAACAGTGAATCTGTCGGATTTCCAACAGAACCAGATGCCTCCACGGCGGCCGTCAGCTTCCACGCGCATAATGTGGGGAAAGCCGAGCTTCCCACAAACCCTGTTAGCCGAAATCCCGCTCACCTGAGGTTCCAGCAAAATCAGAAAATCAGGCTGATTAGTTTGGATAATGAGCTTCAAGGCGCGGATAAAATGGGGGTTTCCAGCGCCACCAACGTTCCACGAAAGAACCTTAAAATTCACAAGATGATTTATTGACATAAGGAAAAAAGGGAAGAAGAGGGCAGAAAGACGGGTCGGAGGATCAAATCCCGGCCGCCGGAGGTTGAGTCGAGTCGTGGCGCTTGATGGGTTCTGGTTCAGGGGCCGCTTCAGAAAGTGCTGTCGGGGGTCCCTCAACTTGGGGTTTTGAGAGGCCAGTCCAAGCTTCAATTTCCTGGAGAGTGAGAGTTGCGATGCGCTTTCGACTCTTACACTTCTTCTCCTTCGTCGGGGTCCAAATCTGGACGGCCTTAGCAGCGGCCGGAACCGGGGTTCCTCTCTTCGTATTTTGTTTTCGCCCCTTCTGATGTTTAGTCCTAGATGCCGCTGAAGGGGAGTTTCGATCGACATTCCGGCGGGGGGGGGTCTGATACGGGGGGATCTCCACGATATGGATGGAGGTCGAGTTAGGGCCGATGATCGTCTGAGTGCTTGGGGGTGTCGGGCCGGTTGGAGTCGGCTTATTGGAAGGGTCGGGCTTCTTGACTGTGTCCGGATTGATTTTGGGTTGGGGGATCTGAGTTTCGGGCCGTGCCAGCTGTTGGGCCGAGCATTCGCCTGGTCCAGAGACCTTCTTGGCTTTGTTCAAAGTGGGGGCAGGCCCAAGGACGCCTTTGGAGACTTTCACTGTGGAGTCTTGCGGTATGATCTTTGCTTTCCCCTTATTAATATTTCCCTTTTCCAAACTCTTGCTCGGAGGCTCATCTGCCCGTTGGGATCTCATAATGGAGTCAGCCGAGATAGTTTCCTTTCTCTTCTCCAATTCCTTTTGTGGATCGCTTCCTTTCCCATTTTTGGTTGGCGACAGATGGAATCCTCCGTGATTTGAGTTTCCCTGAATATTACTCGCTCTTTCCTTTTCCGGTTGTCTGCCATTACGCCGCGATCGGCGCGTGACCTGCATCCAAGGTCCGAAACCAACCTTCTCCTCCGGCGAGGTTTCCGATGTAAGATCCGGCGCCAGCGTTTGTATGCCAGCCGGAGAAGAGGCCGACTTGATTGAAGGGCAAGTAGTGGAGGTGTGACCTATCCTTCCGCACTCGAAACAGACCACTGGGAGGTTCTCATATTCAAGGTATTGCCAGGCTCCGTCCAACCAAATACGAGGGACCAACGGCTTTCCTAAGTCTACCTCCACTGCAATTCTGGCGAATCTAGCTCGTTGTTGATGTTCGGTGTGGTAGTCAAGTTTGATGGCACGCCCAATCAAGTTCCCCAGCATGAAAAGGACCTCCTTGTGGTAGAAATGTATCGGGAGAGCAGGGAACTGGACCCAGACGACCATCAGCTTCGGGAGGTCCTCGGAAAGACGAAATTCCGGTGTCCATTGTTGCACTGTTAGGTAGTGGTCAAAGATGGTCCAAGGGCCATCTGTAAGAGCTCGAAAGTAATCGAGGTCGTTGCTTAACCTGACGAGAAAGGCCTCCTTTCCAAGTCCTAGAATTTCCATTCCTCCAGTCGGTCGCCATTGGGATCTCAGCTTATTGCTGAACGTCGTGAAAGAGACGCTGAGACCCAATAGACGCACAACTAGAGTGCGTTTCCATGGAGCACACAATTTGGATTTGAAGCCGCCGGAGACTTGGAGGGCTGGCTCCCCGTTATGGAGAGTGGGAATCAAATCATGTTCACAAACCGGTGTCCAGGTTACCAGAGCCTTCTGGTTTTCATTAGGATTTCCAGCAACTACGTTGGCATAGGAGACTGGGGGAGATCCCGTGGCCGGGATGGGAGCTAGACGCGGTTGATCAATGACCATGCTTTGTGATGAGGCGACGTCTTGCGATGGTTCCTGGTGCGCGGGCAGAGGCGAAACTTGTGTGCTTGTTTCTGTCGGAGCTGATGGAGCGGTGGGCGGGTCTGGAGGTCTCCCGGAGGGGGTGAGCTCCGTCGCCGTCCGAGGGTCATTTGAGAGCATCGTTGAGTATTATTCGGTCAGTTTCTGCACCCTCTCAGTCCGTACGTATAGTTAATTTTTAAATCCTCTCGATCTATATATAGATGTATAAGTTTAGGTTGTACCATAAAGCAATTTGCACCATTATGTTATGGTATAACTTTACAATTTGAAGTTGCACCATCACATAAATGTACAAGTTCAAGTTGTACCATAAAAGAATTTGTACAAAAAGTATAGGTACAATCTGAAGTTGTACCATAATGTAAATGTTACAATTTTAAGTTGTACCATATATGCAAAACCCTATAGCACCAATACTATATAGCAATGTAAAATTCCTCCTAATTTAGACGGTATAAATTTTGCTTGGAAACAACGAGTTTGGAAGGTTGCTTTGTAGACAAATTTTCACACAATCCTCACCCTTATATAGATGACAACAATTCACTTGCAAGTATTAGGTATTATTTAAAAAAGGTTAAAATGAAATCTCCGGATTGAAAACTAATAATAAAATCAATAGACTAAAGTCTAAACCCTTTGGCAGCTAACACAGGATTTCCTACAAGGTCAATACTATGGTGCCGCTTTAAAAGTGCGGCACCGGTAACGCAACTTCTAATTAGTTCACGTGGAGCTGATGTGGCATTGATTTGTTTAATTAATATCAACCAAACCCGAATAACCCGTTGGTAATGGCCCAAACGGCCTTGGCCTGTCCTAAAGTAACTACACAAGGATTCCGTTGAATGCTTTGTTTTCATGTTTCTGTTTAATTAATTAAATTAAAAACCATGTAAATGCTCTTTCGAAAAAATCATAAAACAGAAGGATCGACATCCCAGCTCATCGATCTCCCTCGTCGGCGGCCTCTACATAATCGCTCTCGGCGACTTGTCCGTCCTCTATCCCATCTCCTGGGTCTATCTATCTGCTCGATTGGAATTCATGATTGCACCATCCTACATTGATTTCGAATAACAAAGGCATATGAATTCTTCGTCTTCCTCCGCCTCTGTCTCCGTGGAATAGCATCGCCGCCAAAGTACCAAACTATCGCGAGTCAAAGAAGAAGAGATTTTCCTCCCTCAGCGCCGTCTGTCTTGCTTTGCACCATACTAGTTGGAATCGTCAAAACCAAGTTCTAGGAGTTATGCAAATTTCTCCCCCAATGCAAAGGTTTTCAGGTAATTCGATTAATCTGTATTTCCCATTAGAGTTAAGGGTTGCGTATAGATTGATACAATCACCCACGTATTCCGTACATGTGGGTTTGATGGCTGACTAAAAGTTTCTAGCCAACTAGTTTCATGTTAAATCAAACCAAAAGAAAAAGATATAGAGTAGAAAAAATGACAATACAGAGATTGAAGTCTGTGTTACAGTGTTAGTAGCTACTGCATGATGTACAGTTGGTCTTGCCCAGCTAACATAGGTGCATTCTTTCCTCAACTCTAATTAGTGTTTTCTGCGCTAAGTGCTTTGGGATACAAGATAGTTCCCCTTAAGGTAGCAATATTACTACTAGTATTAGCAACTAACTAGCAAGGGAGAGGAGAAAAAGAGGGATCAACATGAACCCTCCTCCCTACAGAATTGATCCTGCTCAATTAACTCCCATACCACAACAAATGCCCATGTCGTTATATTCGACATGTTAAGAACCATGGCAACCAAGTCATGTCTACTTGACAGAAGAAGTACAACAAACTATCCGACGATTCAGAAGAAGTACAATACATTACCCCAATAACTCGAGTTATTGGGAGGAAATTATTATGGATCTTATATCACTCTCTTACAAAAACCTAACTAAGTTCATAGGTGGGATGCAACATGCATGTGAAAATACACATTTTCTTCAACGCCTCTTCCTTCCGATATTAAAATGCATAACTGTTAAGTACTTGCTTTGCATTAGTAATTGAAGTTCCACGCGGGGATGCATAAGGTACTACTTTGGTTGTATATCCATCTCTCTATCTCTCAGTTTCTTGGCGCAACCACTTAGTTTTAGTAGGTGTTGATAGGTGGACTCCATCAAATGTTAGGTGAAGATGCACTTCACAGAAAAACCAATGGGACACATTGGCAAAAAAGCAATGAAAATGAGCAATGGGACACAGTTGTATGGTTGATATACTGTTAGGGCTATAACATTGGGTTTCGTGCAACTGATGACTTTGTAGCAAATTCTTACTTCTATATGTGTGTACTTCAAGGAGACAGGTGAAGTAATTGCATAGGTTAGTGATAGTTTCAGTCGGGTTTTTTCCTATGTAGAGTGTGTTAGTTGGAAGCATGATGGGTTATGAATGTTGCAATACAATTGCTTTGGGTACAACCAGCATAGATAGTTGTAATGCAGAGGGTTAACACTTCTAAAAAAAATTGGGTTTTGAATCTCTACTGATTTCAGGAAGTAGACAACACACATTCTAGGTAAGCAAATCCTGCTTTACCATCCACTATCTCAGTTCGATGTTCCTTCTTTTCACTGATGCTCTGTCTCTCTCTTGCAGGATCGCTATCACCTTGTCTCGATCCTAGGATAATTTTTTGGCAGTTCTAAACTTGTTGTGGACACCTATGTTCGAAGTAAGGAGGTTGTTTTTAGAGTTTCTGTTAACAAGGACGTGAGATTTGAGAGCCCCTTGGCTTATGCAGATGCTACCTAGAAAGTGTATATCTTGTATGGAAACCTCTTTGCTGCAATTTTGTATACGTTGTCAATAGATACAGTGAAACAACATATGCGGATGTCCTGGTCTCAAATTCCAAGAGAAGTTTGATGAAATAGGTTCGTGTGTTACCAAACATGTGTTTTGGCCTACACTACATATATCAAATTCTTTAATTGTATTGTATTAGCCTATTGTCCAAATTTATGGATGATGGTGATTTTCAGGTGCCAATGTGGTGGCTGATAATCACGATCAATAAGGGGTATCCTTCATCCTTGTACATGAAACTGAAACGTCTACCACTTTCCGAAGGAGAAATGCCCCCAAGACAGAGATCGTCGCCTTTGTTTTGCAGAATATATGTTGGGGAATGGGAGAGGGAACTCTATGAATGCGGTAGGTAGAGCCTGGAGATGTAATCGACAACGACGAAGTCACTGTAATGTTGTTGCAGACTGCAGAGTTCTTCAAAGAGGGAGACTGACGATTTTTTTTCGTTTCAATTACCGGTTACACCAAAAAATTTCCCCATCAATTTTAAATTAGTTTTTGACAAAATATCCGATGACGGGACGTTATTGTTGTATTCCTTCTGTTTGGGTATATCAGTTGGGTCTAGCCGTCTACGAATCACGGCACGGGCCACCAGATTTTAATTTCGACTAAATGAATTTAACAACTGCCACATGCTAGTCCACGTGGACCAATCATAAGACGCGTCACCAGTGCCCAAGGTTGTCAAACCGGTTTATGCCAGTGTGCCGGTTTAGCAAGTGGAATTATTCGACCGGTAGCACATATCGGTTTGTGCCGGTTCATGCCGCAAATAAAATGATAAATACTCATATTTAAACATGACATTTAACGTCAATACTTAAACATTTATACTTGAATCCAACAAATAACATCAATATTTAGCTTTTATACTCATAAAATAAATAATAAAATTATTTTTATCAATTAAACTCACTAAAATAAGGTCATTTTACTTAGAGATTCGTATATCGATCATGCCGGTCATACCGGTAGTGTCACGCCAATTTTATGACCGGTATCTGTTAAACCAGGTTCAACCGGTGGCACGCCGACCGGCATGACAACCATGCCAATGCCGCACTTTTTATAACGGCACTATAGTATTGGCCTTCCTACAATAGAATACGTGACAGTGTGTTATCCACTTCCGGCCCACCTATCAAAAGCCTTGAGAAATAACTTCCCATGAATATGAGCCAATGACCCCATGACCCAATCGCTAGGGTTTAGGCCCAGCGAATATTGGAGCGGAAGTCTTAAAACCAATGCTGTCAAAGCCGAGCCGGAGTATGACCCGGTAACGTGAACGGCTTGGTCATTAGTGGTCCAGCCGGCATTAGACCGTTTAAAAACCGTTTGAGAACCGGTACCTAATAAACAGTCATCTGTAATAGTAGACACTTCTTAATCATGGTAAACCACAAGTAAATTACTCTCTTAAACCATTCTAGAACATCAGTACTGAAAAATCTAAAATTCAATTCCAAACCACCACATTGTTCCAAAATAGAAGCAATAGAGCTTGGTGTTGTTGATTGAGTACCACTATTTGGATTTGGAGTACTCATCTACAAAAGATTAATTGAATCAGTGGAAGCAGTAGGTTGATTCTCTACCAAATCAAACATTAAAATAAAATGTCAATTAAATCAATGACTTCCTGGTTCAATGTTAAACTAATAATATGAATCATTGGAAGCAGCCGCAGAATTAGTCAATTAATTCACCTTGTGTCGAGCAAAGCAGGTACCGGTGGGAGATGATGCGGAGGTGAGACTACCGGTGGGAGATGCGCTGGAGTAGAGACGGCCGGTGGGAGCTGCAGAGTAGAGACCGCCGGTGGGAGATGGTGCGGAGGAGAGACGGGGAGACGCGCTGGAGTAGGTGAGACAGACGATGACGATGTCGAGCGGTGAGTTGCTATGAGGATGGGGACGACGCCGATGGGAAGCTCCCAAGAACGGGACGGGAAGTGACGACGAATCGGGAGGAGGGGACGGCGACTAGCGCTGGCGATGGAGATGGCGTAGTGGGGAGCGGGGAGCTGCTACGGGGAGTGGGGATGCCGACGATTTCGACGGGAAGTGTCGACGGCGGCAGGTCTGGCGCTGCTCTTCCCTCTCTGTTCGTGAAGAAGACGAAGAAGATGAAGTGAAATGTTGCTAGGGCTTTTTCCAACCCCGACGTTTTGCCTTCATTTTCACTTTTTCAGTTTTTTTTAATTAATCATAACGGCCTGAATGGGGTAAAACCGAGTGACCGGCTTGAGCAGTTCGAGCGGTTAACCGCCTCGGCCGCTTGCCGACCGCTCCAGAAAGCCGGAACGGCTAATTGACTGATCCGAGCCGGTTTTATGACCGGGTGGCGGCTTTAACGGCCCGGTCGGCCGGCTCGGCTCGGTTTTAACAGCATTGCTTAAAACAGCCGAAGCGAAGCAACATAGTATAAGAAAACTAGCGTGGCCCCGGCCAGTTGGCCGGAGAAAGGTGAGGTATGAAATTTGATAATGTAATGGAGTATATAGCTTATTGTTGTATTGTTTTTTTGGGAAACACGTAATAAAAATAGTGAATTTTAGAAGGAAAGATACATGAATGATGCAACGAATCAAAAATCGGTCTTATGAACCAAAATCAAGTACCTGTTATCTTGTGAAACAATATTGTTTCTGGTAATATGATAAGGTGGAGTAAGTTTTATAGAAACCGAATTCCAGAAAATCGAATAAAAAATCGCCTATCCCGTCGGTTTTCGGGAAATGAGTATCTCACAATCGTTGCTAGCTTTTACTCAGCCCGTTGGCCGATTAATTTGTTTTATAAAACTTTCATCTTGCTGTCATTGTGTTTTCTGGTTTTTGTCAGACCATGATAAAATCTAAGGAAATCAAGAACGAACAACAAGATTTGGGATAGGAACCGCCGTTGTCGTATCCCTAGAAAATGGTGGTAAACACGGACTCACCTGCCAAACTGGTTTGGATTGAGATTTTTATCGGGTATCAGGGAACCATGTAATTATAAATTAGACTTGATCAAAACATGCCAAAACTTGAAATTCAGCCTGTTTAACCGACTCATGCCAAATTCTAATTATTCTTTACTTTTAAACTTTCTATTTGAAAATAAAAAATAGTGAAAGAAAAGAGATGACTACAATTCGTCATTTGCACATCACTTATTCGGGAATAAAACCATAGAAATTCAAAAGATTTCCTATAACCAAATAGATCTTTCTGTTTAGTTTTTTACTAACAAATACCAAACGATTTCCTATAAAATACACTATAATTTGATCATTATGATATCAAATAATTATATAATATATATTTGAAATGATCATAATTGGACTAATTGGGTTGGTCGAGGTTGAACCATTGAATAACTTTAAAATACATTATATTTTAGCCACTAAGATATAAAATAATAGCATAATATATATTATGCCAGAGAAAATAGCTTGTTTTAGAATGTCAAACCAATGATGTTCATTTGTTTTACTTGATGGCCAAATCCCGTGTAGGTCAGTCCCATTCAACTCTTTTATTTTATGGTTAGCGTTTAGCCCATTAAATACGATGCATTAGTTTATTGTTAATTTTTTATTTTTAGCAATAAAAAGAAGTATTGTTTTTGCCTTTTCATATATATTTTATCACCACGGATAAATATAAGGGCTTAAAGAAAAAAATTGACACTCCTGGACCCGTTTAAATCCGCATGTGTACGGTAAGTTGGCATGTTCCACAGAGAAAAGAGAAAAAAAATTGACACTATCTATTCTACCCTTCCTACAAACGCTCCTGGAGCAGGGAATTTGAAATGGGGGAAGGGATTTTTCCTCCCTGCTATTATATGTTTTTAATTTGAAAAGATACAACAAATGTACTTAGTGTGATTGGTTATGATCCTTGATTTTTCCCTTCAGCGTATTATATTACTAGCATTGGTCCCGGCCCGTTGGCCGGCATAGTTTTGTGAAAGAACAATAAGTTTATATGAAACAAAGCACAAGTGATACTCTCATACTTTTTTAACTGATTGAATTAACACAAAAATCTATTCACACCCTAAAACTTGCAAATCTATTTGGAGAATGATAAGTAGAACACTTACAACATACTACATAACAGAAAACACATTGTCCTTTAAGAATAATAATATAATGAAAGCAAACATATACCATAGAGAAGGATAGTGGGAAAATGAGAGATTTTTTATGAGCATTACATAACATTATCATAACTCATAAGACCTACCACTCCAAACACAAATTCTATATCATAAGAGGTAAGCAACATTTATGAAGAGCTTTCTATAAAAAAAACATTTCTGAAGAGCAACAACAACAGAAGAGGATCCACTCCACATTTATTGTGGCTCTATACGAAAAATGTCAATTATAGTATCATATGAGCAAGGTTGTCAACCCGCGGGTTGACCCGGACCCGATCGAGCTAGTGGGTCAAGGGTTAATGGGTCAACCGTTTTAGCCCGGTTTGGCCCGGAAATATGAAAAAAATTATTATATTGTACTTATCCTCATAAATTATATCAAATCTTATCTAACATATGTGTTATAACATATAATATTACACCAAAATAACATATCATATATAGATCCAACATATAGTGAAAATTCACACAAACTTATATAACATAAATATTCAAATGTTCAACTTAGCATTCCATAATTGAGCTAGGCGAAAAGAAAAATCGGAAAATAGGCGCATTTCGCAAACCAAAGAAAAAAATGACACAATTTGACCTCCAATCCGGTACCTTATAGCGGTCGGTCCGGCGGGTGCGTGCGGCCCGTTTTTCTCACCGGATCAGGGTCAAAGTGGGTCGACCCGCGGGTTGACAACCTTGCATATGAGTATTTCCTAGACTCTACTCATTAGCAATGACGAAAGGTCATCCTCTTGTCCACTGTGGTTGTCGTTGTGCGGAATGGAAGCATCATCTAGTTGATTATTACGAATTGCAGAAGTTTGACAACCAATTATAAAATGAAGGAGTTGAATAACTATAAAGGAAAATTTATAGTCACAATAGCATATTAGTCAAAGAGAATATTAATTTTGAGGTCAAAGAAGTACTGATGTCATTTCTATGTTCACCTAAAACTTCAAGAAAAAAAATGATTGAACAAAACATTCCTTTAAGTCATATGCGAACCACAATCCATGCAATCAAACAACTAAGTTGAATACAAACAATAATAGAATGAAGATCAATGAGTTAGCATAAATGAAAACTGAAAATCAGTCATCAACCGGAAAATAATATGATAGTAAACTATATTTGCAAGGTTAACATAAAAGTGGGGAGACCACCACATGAACCGTAATAAGCTAACTTGAGAGTCTAACACAAAATATCAAAACTTGTTATGGACGACATAACTCCAAAGATGCTGCAAATTCTCGAGACAGTGCAATACAACAACCATTCATGCTACATTTTAGAACAAAGAGGGTAGAAGGGAAAACTCACAATGGGAATGATAAATCGTATTCAAATTAAGTATAACTATGATGGGATTTAGATCAAATTAAAGATATAATTAATTGGCACATAAAATTGACCCGAAGAAGCTTAATGGAGTAGTGTTACTGTGGTTGTTTCACAACCACGGAAAGAAGCAACATTCCAATCTAATTTGGAGAACTTTCATCCTGCAAAACTCCAAATTGAATGATTAGTATTGAATATTGAAGACAGAGCAGCTTAGTTTTAATTTTGGCCTATCCAAGCATTCCCCTACTACACTTGACCGTGTATAACATCACACGATCTGCTAAATCCACCAAAACTCTATTTATATTACACACCATCGGCCTAATCCGCCACTACCTACATCGAACAATTGCATTGCCCTAAGATGTTAAATTTTTGGGTGCCTATTATTTAAAGGAAGTTGGGACTAACCTGATCGTAACCCTCAAAATTATAATAGAACTCCTGTCATAGATTTAATTGCTGATGAGCTTCACTTGTGATGAAATTTGGGGCAAACATTAAAAACTCTTCATTTGGAATTTGGAACGTTCAGATGCTCGCAGCATATGGGATCATGAGTTCACTTTTGATTTTGGACGAGGTGGAACGGAAAGAGAGGGGAAGAGAGAGGAGCTGCGGACAACCTGAATCATTCGCCGGAAAAGGGAGCAGAAGCGACGGAAAAAGGAATCGCTCCAACTCCAAGGGAGCAGAACAGAGTAGGCGGGAAGATGGAATTCGAGTATTCGACACTCCGAGGGTCTCTGATGGTGATGGCGCGTTGAAGAAGGAAAAGCGAGAGGGGCGGTTGAACAAAGAGAGAGAGGAGTATGGACTATGGAACGACTTGGGCATGATAAATTTACATACATAACCCTCCGATGTGTGCGGATTAGCGAGGATGAGCTGACGTGGGGGAAGTGATTTATTTACATTCCCTTATAGTAATCTGTAGATGTGTAGATAGACTAGATTTAGTACAAAACGTAGCACAGTACAGACATGCGGGAAGTAGTTGCAAAACAAGCATCTTTTACCTGTATAACTGATCAACTGTAATTGAATTTAGCTCATGGCTCCAAAATGGTTTTGATGTGTGAATAAATAGTGAAAACAAACGAAATGAACGAAACTAAAAGTTACAGAAACTCTCAAGCTCAAGCATCCACAAAATGATTACTTTTGAGCTCACTACTTAAAAGCTTGATCAACACTACCCTTTCGGGGGGCCATCACCCTCCAATATCTCGTCCATGCAGAATTTATGCAGACTCTCGTAGGTTGTCTTCAATCTCTTCACCATTTGTCTAGACTCTGCAAGATCATGCTTCACCTTTGCCACTCCCATTTCGGCCGCAGCTGAAGAACCCTTTTGCTGCAACAAGATTAAACATGGTCCCACTCAACACAAATGCAAAAAATCTGGCATAAACAAAATCTACAGGACAGAAACTACATATTTGCATCAATTCATTCGATGGAAATGGAAATGGAAATGGAATGGAAAACCAAGAACAGAGAATTAGTAACCTGAAGTTCTATGAGTTGGTTGTCGATCAGAGGAGAGGTTACATATGCAGCCTTAAGACGATTACTGTTAGTATGCGGCAGCGCAATTACAGCATCTGTTAATGACTTGTCATCTTTCGACGCTTGGAATTTCTGCAGTGGAGGTGGTAGTGAAGACTTTCGCCGCCTTGTGACCTGCAGATTGTTCACAGGACCTGTCTCGGGAAAAAATTGAGATGACTATCACAGAAAAGAGAGCTTCAATGGAAAATTTGTGTTGGACCAGATCTTTAGGTCAATACTACAGGCTTTGCATCGTTCACGGCAGATCAGGAAATAGGCACAAAATACCTTTTTCATGATGGAATCCACGAATGAGGTTCATGTTCTTGGGATCCCAGACTCGAATTGACCCATCCTCTGATCCAGCAAGCAACCAGTTCTTACTGGTACTGTATGCTAATGAAGTCACAGCGTCGCTCAAGTTCTTACTGCTCAATCACAAACATAAACAGAAAAGTTCTTAGACCTCAAAGAAATTGGCAAGTTTAACCGGCAGAGTAGTCTTACTGAAATTAAGAAGGAATATTCCTCTGAGAAAAGGAATCAAATGAACGGGAAGAAAGAAAAGAAGCAGCCTATGCAATTCAAGCTCACGATTCACCAAATCTGTTAGGTCTCTACCTATGCAGGTTCAAATGGAAAACGGATGAAAGACGTTGGAAGGACCAACATCTTACATAAACAACAGAATGTATAGCAAATAACTAACCTTCCACTAGACAACGAACCAATGATGTGCAACCAAGGACTTTTGCTGGATGAGCTACTGGCACTAAGGGCAACAATATATATCTTCCCATCTTTACCACCAGCATAGAAGACGGTTTCCGCAGGATCCAAGACTAATGCATTGATTATACATGGAAACGCAACACTTCTCAACAATTCACCCTTAGATAAGCTCCATACCTGACAAGAATCCCAAGGCCAGATAAATGATTCATTGTGGCTTTGGCAGAGGAATGTACAAACAATAAAGTTGAGAAATCAAACCTTACAAGTTCGGTCCTCGGAGGCTGAAACAATAACTGCATTCCATCCTCCATAACCTATAACCAAGTCAGTTATTGGCATAGTGTGGTCTGAAAAGTTATACAAGTAGCGATGACTTGGTTTGTCTGTTTCTCTATCATCTAACACCCTGACACAGATAGAACCACACCAAAAAAAAACGTCCTTAGCAATTACAACCAACAAAAAATTTACACCCTTTTTAACCAGAATTTGCACAAGAAGAGAAGGGGAAGTTACTTCAAAAGTGGCCACACTTTAACAATGCCATCCTCCGACCCAGAAACCAGAAGTGAACCGTCGTCATTGAATACCAGGCAAGTAATCGGCCTGAGATGCGCCTCCCATCTCTCAAGCAACAATCTACCAGTAGCAGTCTACAGCAATCAAAATCCGTACTAAGTTGAATCAAACTAATTCCTGTTTTCCATCACTGAAACAAGGGAGGAAAGGAGAAGAAAATCTCACCTCCCAAAGATAGATTTTTCCGGAAATCCCTCCACCAACAATGTAAGTCCCTTCAGGATTAGCAGCTATGGGCTTTATGGGCTCCGCCAGAAAGCTCTTCACCTCCACTCCCGGCTAAAGAGAGACCCCAAAAAATTTGCCAACGAAAATGTCAATTCTTTGAAACTAAGTGTAACAGGGAGGCAAAGAATAGGAAAGACTAAGTACCTTGGACCAAGACCAGTAGTGAATGAACCCATTTTTGACTTTAGGGTCTCGGAGCTGAGAAGATGCGAGGAAGCGGCTGCCGACGGCGGAAAGGCCGTGGCGGGTGGAGGCGCAGGATTTGTAGTGGAGCGGCTGCTTAACTCCCGTTTCGAGGTCCCAACAGCCGATGCCGGCGTCGACTGAAGAAGAGGCAATTACCAGCTCCGGTTCCATGTCGCCGTACGGGAGCTTTGTTCCGATGGGAGACACGATTTGCAGGGCTTTGGGATTTAAACGGCAAGATTTTTGTAGGGTTTTAGAACCTAGAACAATGGACAAGATTTCTGTTTTTTTAGAATTTTACTACGTTTGCAGATTTAAGTATTGGGTATTGGCCTATTAGCATTGCCTCTTTTGGGCCTTACACATGGGCTCAAGATAGGGTGTATAACCATGGGTTATGCACCCATCAATAACCAAATCTGAACCCTTCATTTAGAAAATTCAGATCTAAGGATGGAGAATTAAATGCTATTTTTATTTTCACTAGTTTTCTTAATTGACTCATATCTTTTTCGTTCTAACTCGGATTTTAATTTTTTTTGCACAGATGGAACGAGTTCACCGTGCTCTATAAAATGAGATCAATTTTCAATATTTTTTTAAGAAAAAAAAATTCTGGCCTCTCGGTACCAACTGCATACCATATGGTATCTTCTTCGTTTTTAATTCGTTTTTGAAAACGTTTGCACAGCAGGGATGAGTTCATCATGATCTACTGGATCTACAAATTTCTGGGTGAACAAATTACAGGACCAAAAAATACCACACAATACCATACAATACCACCCTGGTACGGGGGTGGTATTGTATGGTATCTTCTTCGTTTTTAATTCGTTTTTGAAAACGTTTGCACAGAAGGGACGAGTTCATCATGATTTATTGGATCTACAAATTTCTGGGTGAACAAATTACAGGACCAAAAAATACCACACAATACCATACAATACCACCCTGGTACGGGGTGGTATTGTGTGGTATACAATGTTAAAAGTCGTAAATTACAATTAATATACTTCTACTATCATGTATTCAACCATCCTACAGTATTGGTTTGTTCATACCACCATGGTACGTTTTTCAAAACATAGGTATGCTTTTATTTCAATACCAGTCAATACCATATGGTATAGGCTGGTAAAAAATGGCTCAATTTTTTTTGTTCGAAAAATATATTAAAGTGGATATCATTTTGAAGAGCACAATTAATCTGATCTAACTGTGCAAAAAAAAATTAAATTTTGACTTAAAATGAGCGAGAAATCGTCCGTCAAAGATTAAAGAGGGAAAAATTAAAGGCTTTCCATGAGAGAGAGGATGCTGATGTCATGCTGATGTGGACGGGTTACTCATGGTTACTCACCATAAGGTTACTGACCTGATCCATTCCCCTTACACATGGGCTCAAGATAGAATGCATAACCATGGGTTATGCATCCATCAATAACCAAATCTGGACCCTTCATTTAGAAAATGCAGATCTAAGGATGGAGAATTAAAGACTATTTTTATTTTCACTAGCTTTCTTAATTGACTCATATCTTTTTCGTTTTAACTCGGATTTTAATTTTTTTTGCACGGATGGAACGAGTTCACCGTGCTCTACAAAATGAGATCAATTTTCAATATTTTTTTAGGAAAAAAAAATTCTGGCCTCTCGGTACCAACTGCATACCATATAGTATCTTCTTCGTTTTTAATTCGTTTTTGAAAACGTTTGTACAGCAGGGATGAGTTCATTATGATCTAGTGGATCTACAAATTTCTGGGTGAACAAATTACAGGACCAAAAAATACCACACAATACCATACAATACCACCATGGTACGGGGTGGTATTGTATGGTATCTTCTTCGTTTTTAATTCGTTTTTGAAAACGTTTGCACAGAAGGGACGAGTTCATCATGATCTATTGGATCTACAAATTTCTGGGTGAACAAATTACAGGACCAAAAAATACCACACAATATCATACAATACCACCCTGGTACGGGGTGGTATTGTGTGGTATACAATGTTAAAAGTCGTAAATTACAATTAATATACTTCTACTATCATGTATTCAACCATCCTACAGTATTGGTTTATTCTTACCACCATGGTACGTTTTTCAAAACATAGGTATGCTTTTATTTCAATACCAGTCAATACCATATGGTATAGGCTGGTAAAAAATGGCTCAATTTTTTTTATTCGAAAAATATATTAAAGTGGATATCATTTTTAAGAGCACAATTAATCTGATCTAACTGTGCAAAAAAAAATAAATTTCGACTTAAAATGAGCGAGAAATCATCCGTCAAAGATTAAAGAGGGAAAAATTAAAGGCTTTCCATGAGAGAGAGGATGCTGATGTCATGCTGACGTGGACGGGTTACTCATGGTTACTCACCATAAGGTTACTCACCTGATCCATTCCCTTACACATGGGCTTTCCTAGTATCAAAACTGTATATTTGCTCAAACCTGAATAATCCCTATAGTAAGCTCGATTATTGGGCCGCACTGGCATCTTGGATTGCTGCCACCCCAACACCACTTTCGTGTCCATAGTTGCTCCATTTCAACACGACTAGCTTATTACCCGGCCCGTTGGCCGGATTACTGTATGTTACCCACTTGTGGAATGGGAGAGAAAGCAAGTAAGAGTGAAGGGATTGGGATTCCACTTGATTAGGATCTACCCACTAATCTGATTCTTCCCGACCTGCCCCAACCTAAAGGGTCAGAAAGAGTCAATAAGAAAATACGAACGAAGAGGATTAGTCATATATCTTGACTCTTCAGAAGCGGGTCAAACAGGATCAAGGTTGGGTGAGGGCAATATTTAGCGCTAAGCAGAGTTCTGGGTTGAATAACTTTACTTAGGCCTAGAAATTCGTGCTGATGCAGACTGCAGTTTTTATTATACCATCATCAATCATCATTGAATTAGTCCCGGGCATCCCTCCCCGCTGTCGGTCTGAATTCTAAAGATGGCTTCATTCCTTGCACCAGCCATATCAGCGAGTTGTCATCTCGAGCATGATTTGCCTATGTACAAATGATACAATTAGAGTATGAAACTGGATTCAAAGAAAAGGAAAAGAGAATCCTATCACATGCCAATAAATACACACATAATAGTTGAAGCTAAGTGAAAGTCATTACTCGCACATCAATTCTCAAAAATTATAGACTAAACAATGGCTAGAATGGCACTGAAACTACCAAGAATCATGGACAAAACAACTTGTCAAATTAAATAATCATTATACTGAAACTACCTTCTAACTTGAAATAAGACATGATCACAGTTCATAGCACTCTTATCACTATGGATTGGTTGCAGCTCGTCCTTATCACTGCCTCCCAAGCTCAATTCAAACAGAATAGAGACCGTTATGTAAGATAACCATATCCTTACTGATCATAATTCCTTTCTCCACTCCATTTTTGTCGGAGAAAAGAGTTATCCCCCTCTCCTGCATTTCCCTTTCCTCCTCTCTTCTCCCTCTTCTTCACAAACCGATCCCTAAACCAACAACAACAACACAAAAATAGTCTTAGCCTCTGCCATCTCCATCTACTGAACACGTTGGTGGCAAAACAGGACTGCAGAAGCAAAATTTTCTAAAATCAAACTAAATTTTTTGAAGGAGACTCAACCACGAAAAAAGAGTAAAGCAACAATACTAATAGTTCAGATGGTTGGTTTTGATGTTATACGTTGCTTTTGTTATGGTCTCCAATATATCAAATGCAACAGAGATGTTTCCTCCAATCATCTTTAGTGCACGATTTAGAAGTAAGTCCTCTTGTTTGTGTCAAACGGAAACATTCATGGGTTCTTAACTCCCCTGTTAGTGTAAATGCAGCAGCAGCAGCAGCAGCAAAGAAGTTTGACAACACAGCAAGCACCCAGGCAAAATGATACAATGCAGTAGGTGATATGTGTCTCGAAGGTTTTGAGTTACTAAAGTTCATGTTAAAAATAAACATGAATTAAAATGGATTATTCTATTAAGCACACATCCCCTCTAATCATAGAAAGATCAGATATCCAATCCACAAACAATTAAGCCATAAAAAATCATCACACATCCACCATCTTTGATTGCCTAAATTGGTTTTTGGCAAAGTTATGGACTCTTAAGGGTAACGTTCATGGGTAGTCTGTTTCATAACTCTAGAGAGCACAGTAAGCAGCCACCAGCCAGACACAGTGCGGTAGGCGAATATGATTCTCAATTCACAATTTCTCACCACCGGAAGTAAGAACGGACCATAATAAGCGTAGCGTTCATGGGTGGTCTGTTTCATAGCACTACTACACAATTTGTTAAAAAGGAAAGAAAGGTATTTAGCATCACGACGGAACAACTTTTACAGGCCAACAACGACAACATGCTGCAACCACCAGAACTAGTATCACAACTCATAGGGAAAATCAAAAGATTTACTCTCAAATTAAGTAGTTACAACATCGAGCAATCGTCAAGCACATACACCATCACAAAAGTCACGGAACCTGATTCACAAAGCATTCAAACATTTGAGGACATTTCTCCAAAGGTACAACTTATATGTCTTTTTTCCAATCCATTTCCATCAACATACTAATAAATTTGCAATGCATAAAACAAACGGGCCAAAACTTGAAATTCAGTCTGTTTGACCGACCCATGCCAAATTCTAATTATTCTTTACTTTTAAACTTGCTATTTGAAAATAAAAAATAGTGAAAGAAAAAAGACGACTACAATTCGTCATTTGCACATCACTTATTCGAGAATAAAATTATAGAAATTCAAAAGGAACTGAAAAATGTTTAGGATCGTTTTAATGTTTAAAATAACCAAATAAAACTTTATGTTTAGTATTTTACTAACAAATACCAAACGATTCCCTATAAAATACACTATAATTTGATCATTATGAATCATAATGATCAAATTATGATGTCAAATAATTATAAAATATATATTTGAAATAATAAAAGTTGGACTAATTGGGTTGGTCGAAGTTGAACCATTGAATAACTTTAAAATACATTATATTTTAGCCACTAAGATATAAATAATAGCATAATATATATTATGTCAGAGAAAATAGTTTGTTTTAGAATGGCAAACCAATGATGTTCATTTGTTTACTTGATGGCCAAATCCCATGTAGGTCAGGCCCATCCAACTCTTTTATTTTATGGTTAGCGGTTAGCCCATTAGATACCATGCATTAGTTTATTGTAATTTTTTTTATTTTTAACAATAAAAGGAGTATTATTTTTGCCTTTTCATATATATTTTATCACCACGGAGAAATAAAAGGGAATAAATAAATAAAAATTGACACTTCTGGACCCGTTTAAATCCGCATGTGTACGGTAAGTTGGCCCGTTCCAGAGAGAAAAGAGAAAAAATTGACACTCCATATTCTACCCTTCCTACAAACGCTCCTGGAGCAGGGAATTTGAAATGGGGGAAGAGTTTTTTCCACCCTGTTATTATATGTTTTTAATTTAAAAGGATACAACAAATGTACTTAGTGTGATTGGTTATGATCCTTGTCTTTCTTTAAAATGGTCATGGTTCGAATCCCAGCATGTATCTTTTTAATGAATAAAAAAAGTAATTATGAAGACCAAAATGTCCTTCCTACTTTCACTCTCGTTGCAGGAAATTTGAAATGGGGCTCCCGTTTTTCCCTTCGGTGTATTATATTATGTGTAGATGTAACTTTAAACATACGGGTAAACTATAAACAATCAAACCGTGTAACAATTAGTGGTGAACATATTTCTCATAATGGTGCACATATTTCTCATAATTTTCAAGATGGGGGAAAATGGTTTCTACAGGGAATGCAAATGTATAACCGACTAGGTTGTAGCGTGTTGTTTCATATATGCAATATCTTCTATTCAAATTTGTATATGTTTTTTTAGATGGGAATCTAAAATTTCATTAAGCTCGGGCCAAGAAAAGCCTCTCAAAACTGTCCAATACAAAAAACAAAGCTGTATAGCTTCTATAACTAAAAGAAGACAAAAAAAAAAACTTCTATCTATCTACTTCATCAAGGAAAACAAGAATCCTTTGGATTTCCGGATCTCTATTCACCCTGTATGCAACCTCACCACGCACAACTCTAAACAACTCCAATGGTGATTTAGCAGGTCTATCACCATACAAACGTGAGCAGCGTTCACGCCAAACCCAGCTGAGTCCAACACACCAAAACAGGCGACAAATTTTCGACTTAGCAGAGTTTCCTCCCCAATTCTGCACACACCAGTCAACCATATGATCCCACTGCAAAAAAGGAGGCGGGGCATACAATCTCAAACTCTTCTTCAACACAAAATCAGTGTACGAGCATTGGCTCATTAAATGAACTCTATCCTCTCTACCACCTAGACATAATAAACAAAGTCCAGAAACCATTTCCCCCATCTCAATAGCTTGTCTTGAGTTGTCAGTCTATCGTGCATAGCAAGCCACACTATAAATTTGTATATGTTTGAAGTCCTTAAACCGGTAAAATAGGGGTTGGGCTAGTACATACGTATTTGATGAAATAAAATGCTCTTATTTATAAAATATAAAAAAATAAGATAGCAATTATGGTTGGTTGGTCTTAGTGATGGCAATTACTCACCCATGGGTAATTATACCCAAACCCAAGTAGATCCATTCATAATGGGTTGGGTATGGGTGAAGTGCATATGGGTTTGGGGGTTTGTAAATGGGTTTGGGTAAGGTATGAATATTGCTTCCATAATCTAAATGGGTATGGGTTGGATATAGATATCCATTTACTTTAGGGTGTTTTAACTACACATGCAAAAATTGGACCTATTTGTAAAACTTGAAAAGTTTAGGTACCAAAATGTAAAATAAAAAAAATTTAGGTACCAAAACGTAATTTTTCATCGATATTTTGAGGACTTATATGCAAAAAAATAATTTTAGGTACTAAATATGCATATCTATAAAGTTTAGGTACCAAACTGTAATTTGTATTTAGGCATGGGTACAAACCCAAATTCATTTGTTATAAACCCAACCTAACCCAAAGTAAATGGGTATGGGTACAAACCCATCAAACTCTACCCATATCCATCTATTTGGATTTCATACCCAACCCAATTGGGTTGGATAGTAAAAAACCCATGGGTATGAGCAAAACTGTCATCCCTTGTTGGTCTTGGTGCATAATTTTTTTAAAATAGTAAATCAATAGAATCGGGTCGGTTCATTTGGTTCCGCGTATCCAACCACTAAAAATCATTCGACCCATTGTTGATCGTCCAACAAACTTACAAACAGACCAATCAAGTATTGTATCAGGTTGGTTGACGGCTCCATTTAACGGCCGAATAGTCCGGACCGGTTCTTAGAACAACCTATCTCAAGTCCAAGGAAGGAAGTATTGGGCCGCTCAAAGCCCAATCACACAGCAACATGCTCTTATTGGGGACCAAATTTAATGGAGAGCACTGCTGTGACTTGTGAGGGATGATTGGAGTCTGACTGACTAATATAAATGGACAAATTATTATGGAATGATGAGAAGTTTGAGAACTGAGAATGGCTAGCTAGCCCAGTAACTCAAGTCAGCCCACAAACAACATACATCATCAATTTCTCTTTGGAGAATGGGAACAAGGAAAAGAAGCAAGGTTGTCAAACCGGATTAAGTCCTCTAACCGGTTTAACAAGGGATTTGAGGTTTAATGGTCGAATCGGGGTTCAACCGGATTAAGCCGGCTGACTTGATACATCACTCGATTCCATCTATCAACCTGTAAAACAAGTAAATAATTAACAAAATAACAAAGTATCATCAATTCCATCAACCAAATTAACCTGCTGCATTCCTTACTAACTCCTAATTAACAAACAAACGTCAATGCTCTTTCTTTCTTTCTCCCCCACTCTCTCTATCTAACAATAACCAATGCTCGATTCCATTATATTGTGGAAACTGGAAATGGAAACAGAACCAAGATGTGCTTTTCCAATTCTGAAACTACACAATAGAAACCTAATTAAGCACCTACCTGAAACGATCTAAGCTAGTATTGAGGCAGGGGCGGGGACTGCTGTCAAGGCGGCGGGGAGTTGGGTCGATGCGTCGGGCGGGGAGCGACGGCGAGGAGTTGGGGACCTGGTTTGAGACGAGGGGGCGAATGAGCGGCGGTGAGACGTGGGGCAGGGAGTTGGGTCGAAACGAGGGAGCGGCGGCGATTGCGCTGGTTGTGGCCGCGGGCGAAGGCTCTGCTGGCTGCTGCTCGGCAGAAGAAGAAAAGGAAGGGATGCGATCATGCGATAGTTTTGCTAGGCCTAGGGTTCAAGATTCAATTCAGATTTCAGAAAGAAGCTCCAGAACAGGCCAAACGACGTCACTTCCTCATGGCCGGTAGCCGGATAAGTCCGGTCAGACCCCGGTTTTGGCCGATTTTGACCGGCTACCGACTAATTCAAATTATGGCTGGCACTAGCCCTTTTAATGCCCGGTTCCGGCCAGATCCGGTTCGATCGGCCGGTTCGACCCCGGTTTGACAACCTTGAAAAGAAGATTCCCCATCTGTCTGCTAGGGTTCTAGCTAGGTGGTACAGCTAGAGAATATACATATGGTAGAGGTATGGGGAAATATAGTTTTGTTTTTCATCGAGAAGTTTCGGAAAATGAGAAGAAATGGAAATGAAAAGGTGTGCATGGATCTAATCTAATCTAATCTAATCTGCATCTAATCTATGGAGCAGCAGCAGCAGCAAGCATGTGTTTTTGTGTGGGGATAGCTGCATGCAGCCTTATTGACCCACTACTCACTCTCCCACCTACTGAATTCTCTCCAGTAGTCCAGTTACTTTCCTTTTCATTTCATTTCATTCATTTTCTTACTACTGCTTTGCTTTTTCTTCTAGCTTTGTGGATTTATTATTCCAGGAAAGGAGACTGATCAGGATTCAGGAAAGAAAAGCAAGACCAGAAGAGTGGTCAGAGAGAGAGAGAGAGTTGTAATGGGGGCATTTTAGCATATAATAGTTTATTGCTTGTATGGAAATTTGTCAATAACAAAGTGTGTAAATGAGGAGGGTCTACTGCTACTACAAAAAGAAGTGTCGAGCGACAGAAAAGAAGTTTGCATGTCAACAAAGTTGGATAGAGAAGACGAGAAGTTAGGAGGAATCTAAGTTTAGCCCAGTACAGCCAGCTCATGTCACGAATGAGGTTGTCAACCCGTGCGTAACTGATCGCGGTCAAATTATTTCGATCTAGTATTCGGTGTCTTCTTAACATAAGACAACCATTCAATCAAAAGTTTGTGTAGTGCGAGTAACGCCTTCTCTATTTCGATCTAGTATTCGTATTGAGCCAAACATCAATATTGCTACATTGTTCGCATTTGAATACATAACTTTTCCAATAATAAAGTTCTCATCACATTTAAAGTAATTTTATATGCCAAGTATATTCAATATACATATACACTACACAACTATATTTTCTAAAGAGAATCTAAAAAAAGAGCTAAGAAACAATTTATTTATTTTTATACCATCCAAATGTTCCTTTTTCTTCTTCTTCTTCTTCTTCTTCTTCCAAATAGTTTTTCTACTTTGTCTTGGGATGGACTTGACGTATCCTTATACATGACACGTGAAGTTTTTCCTCAAGTCACGTGCCATCCTGGGCAGCAAAGGACAAACCCAAAGGACCCCGTGGCCAAAAGCACCCACCACCACCAGGAAGCAGCAGCAGAAGCAGAAAACAAATTAAAGAGATGGGGAAAAAGGGGAAAACTCAACAGTAAAATAAAGGGTGGCTTTTATATATAAAAAAGAATATTTATTTAAATTGCATAAAGTTTTATTATTATTTTTTACATATTATACGTGGCTGTGGGAAGGTGCCTAGCTACGTATATATTTTGGGGTTTTGGTTTTGGCCTTTGGTTGTCTCCCAAGTCTCAATTGAATCCTAAGGTTTAGGGTTGGTTTTGTTTGTATAATGAGACCAAAAGATCATTGCACGACAAAGATACTCTACTAGTAATGGTCTCAAGAAAACAAAAGACAAAGATATATTCTAACCAAATATACCTGCTAGCTAGCTACATGTTTTTGTTTTCGGTTCCTTTTCCTTTCTACCACCGTTTCCACCTTTCTTCTTCATTTCTATCACTATTAGTTTCATAATAATTATTAGTGTTGAAAATTTAGATCTTGTTTCTACCAGGGTAAATGGATGCAAGTTAAACTGCTGTTTAGGGGCACTTCTTCAATTTGGGGTCGTCTTCCCCCTTTTTCCTTTGGCTTCCTTTTTGGGGTTTAGCTAACTTGGCTAACTACCGGTCAACTAAAGAAGCTAGCTAGCAAAGGATGCCTCATCACATTACCAATGGAATTAATTAAAGTGGGACTTGAAATCAAAAGGATGAACTTAGTTAATAACAACTTTGAGTAGTTCTTAGTACTTAGCTTGAAATAATCAATTATAATGACATACTACCAGGATTTGGCTCATTAATTAGATGATCCTCATACTAAGGTTTGGATTCCGTTGCACTTGTACTCAAATAGTCATGATGAGGGGGAAGAGAAACAAATTTTAGACGTAATAAAGATTCGGTACTCAGGTTACGTTGTAATTATTGGTCGTTGTTGTTGTCGTCGTTCTTTTGTACCTAATTATGCAAATTCAATTTCCTCTCAGTAGAATGCAATAAAAATGAATATGGAATAAGGGTTCCTTAGTTACTTGATGAATAGGACTGTCCCTCTAGGTAGAGGGTAATGCAGAAACTCACAAGTCATGGTAACTGTAGATAAGGGTAAATGAAGTGAATGGTGGAGGATCGTGAGATTTACTCAAAGTAGGAAAAGGCAAAGGTTCGTGCATTTCCTCCCTCTGCCCCTTTCACCAGAAGCCTGAAAGAAAAGAGCAAATAATGGATATGGAAATGGAAGCATAAATAGAAGCAACCAAACCATTGATGGAAACATTTCAAACTCCCCACTCTCCCACCCCACATATTCCATATACCTTCTTATTCACGGTTTCTTCTCTTCTCTTCTTCCCATGTACATATTTCGCTTTCATCAGTAGCTTGTTTTTTATGTATAAAATTACAACTTCCGTTTGTTTGGGTTTGTTTTCTTGTTTCAGTACTCTTCTTCTGATGATTTTATTTTATATTGTTTACGTCTGTTCTCTCAAGGCGGAAGAAGAAAAAAGAAGAGGGGGAAAAAAACATTTGTTGCTTTGCTTTGCTTCCACCGACTAGCACTGAGTACTGACACTTCATGGAACCCAAAAACGAGAGAGAACTATTTATGTTTTTTTTTTAATATTGGGAACTTAATAATAACAGAAAGAAGGATATGGTCAAGCCAGGAAATGATTACCTTCTTTTCCCTCACCTTCTAATCTCTCTACCTGTTGACAATTATGTGGGTAATGATACTCCTAATTATGGTTTTATTGTAACCCTCCATTGTGATTGATAATGCGGTACAAGTAATAATGGTGCTCTCAAGCTAGCAAATGTAACAATCCTGCTCTCTTTCTATTTCATTTTTTCCTAACAGAAGGGAAATGGGGTTGTTTTCATTGCACTAATTTGGTTAGTACTTAGGATTTGGAAGGGGAGTAATGTGATATAACCCTAGAGGCTAGAGCGCCACAATTATGGATAGATATGGAGAAGAGAACTGAGAGAGTAGGGATTATAAAGCATTAGGAATTGAGAGGATAAAATTAGGAAGGATTGGGAAAGAAAGAGAGAGTCGGAGAATGATGGGTTGGCCTAGGGAGAGGGAGGATGAAGAGAAGGAGAGTGATGGAGGGGGGCGGGTCGACCCACTCTTACATGTTATTTGAAAAAAATACACGCAAAAATTTACTTTTATCATAAAATGAAGGGGGAAATACTTTGTGAATGAAAAATAGTGATGATAGAATGAGTAATTGAGTGTAACTAGTTGAAAGATCGAGTCTAACTAGTTGAATAAAAGTTAAACTAGGAGAAAAATGAATAGATATGGTAAGAAATTGACATGGAATGGGCCAAAAACGGGGCGGGGTGTGACAGAACGGATCTGGAGTAGATATCCATGCCCCGCCCCATCGCGGATCAGGTCGGGTAATACCCGCGAAACCAAATTCAAATTACCATCACTATAACCCATAAATACGAATAAGGCTTGTACCATAATGAGATAAAAGCCCGAAGAGGAAGGGGATTGCAGAGACTGAACATTAATTTTGACTGCAAAAATTTACTTCCTTGTAAATAGGGATGGCAATGGGGCGGGTTTGGGGCGGATTTGTCTCAACCATCCCCATACCCGCTATCAAATATCTATACCCATACCCGCCCCATACCCATGCGGGGGAAGGTTTTGCAAACCCATCCCCATACCCGTGGGTTTCGGGTACCCATGGGTAATATCCGCCCCGTACATCCGACATTATAATACCTAAAATTTTAAATGTACATTCTCAATTATAACATTAAACGCATCTACTATCGTGAAGTTGACAAAAAGACTATCATTCTTTATACGATTCAAAGCATCTTATCCTAAACAATCCATTAATCCATAAGATAGAGTACAATATAATGTAATACAAATCATTCTTCTCTGACTCTGATACATCTACTAACTAATAACTAACTAACATAATCTAGTAAACACGAGGGGAAAAGTGAAAGAGTGAAGGGAGAGTTGACGAAAAGGAATTATGTTTTGATTTGGGTGTTCACTCAATTGCATTTCTAATATTTATTTTCTTGAGGTACCCTCACTATCATCATATATCACAATTTTATTCATATATTTGTTATATGTGAAGAAATGTTCTTAGTGGGGCGGGTATGGGGCAGGGGAGGCTAAAACCATACCCGCCCCATACCCATCAAACGTTTTGCGGGTTTTACCCATACCCGCCCCATACCCAGTCAATGCGGGGATTCCCCGCGTTGACTGGGTCGGGGGCGGTCGGATACCCGCGGCCATGGGTTTGATTGCCATCCCTGCTTGTAAAGAAGAAGGAAACATTAATTTGGGTGCAGTGCAAGGAGGGAGAGAGATGGCCTGAGCAATATATATAACACCTTTCTTTCCCTCCCCTTCTCTTGTCAACAGCTTTTGCCTGCCCTTCCAATGGGCAGTGGATAGAACAAGCAAAAAGCCACCCCACTCTCTCATAACATTGCACACAAGAACAAACCCAACCTCTCTCTCTCTCTCTTCCTACTGCCTTAACCATTAATGCAACTGAAACACTTACAGAATACAGACATCAGAGTCCGGTAGAGCAGAGGAGAGTAAATACCAAAGAGCAATGAATTTATCATTATTGCACCAAATAAAATGCAAAACACTGGACGGATGACAATACATATAACATATATTGTTTTGGATAATAAGTCTCGTAGGCATTAACTCATGGCTAGCTTAAAAGAAAAGTCGCATATATTTCTGTACACAAAAGAAAAAGAAAAAGAAGTCATCCACATTTTTGCTTTTTCCACTAAAGCAACCACCGTGATCGATCGGATGACAATCTACGATCATCATCATCATCATCATCACCAAAACATTTAACAAACAAAACAAAAAAGAGGAACCCGATCGAATTTAGAAGAGATCTCAATATCTCATGATCATCTACAGCATATTAATTAGCTCGGGTTCTAAGAAAGATTCTGCACCAAAAACCCATCATCATCATACTGAACTAATCAAAATAACACTCATCAAAGGGAATCTAACTAACTAACTAACTTAACAAGCGGAAGGAGGCATGAGATTCAACCCTAAATCGTCCTTCTCCAACACCAACCGTTGCGCCGCCTTACCATTCTCCACACAGTACTGATCCGGGTGCACCCTCTTCTTGGAGATGGGCACCCCGAACAGCTTCGTCCTGCCGCATGAACCATTCTTCTCAACGCCGTCGTTTTTGTTGCCGGGAATCTCCTCCAAGATCGTCACCGTGCTCTGCGAGTTCCCGCTGTTGCTGTAGCTGGGCGACGTTCTCCCGGTAGTAGTAGTAGTCGTAGTAGGAGCGTTGTTGTTACTATTGTAGCCAAGCTGAAGCTGGTTCCACGGCTTCAGATTGGAATGGAAGGGCGGGAACGGCGTCGTATGGTGGTTGCTGGGAGGTGCGACGGGCTTGACGTGGTTCTGGACGAAGTAGATGATGTCGTTGTACAGCTTCTTCATGTGGGCCAGCTCCGACATCAGCATGTTGTTGCTCCGACGCAGCCGCTCGTTGTCCTGCGCCAGCGCCGTCACCGTGTTCCCGGCCGGCGGCGGCGGAGTGGAGTCCCAGTAGTTATGGTTGTGATTGTGGTGGGAGGGGAAGAGGTGGTGGTGGTCGTCTTCGTCGTCGATCCGGTCGGAGAAAGGGAAGAATCCGGCGAGGTGGTGGTGCGGCGGCAGGGGAGGAGGAGGAGGTGGTGGGTGAGCTGTCTTGCGGCGGTGGATTTCGCAGAGGAGGTGCTTTTCGCCCTTTTTGAAGAAGTCGTTGGCGAATTCCCATCTGTCCGGCACGATCTTCCTAAAACCCTAGGGAAAAGAAAAAGAAAAAAAAACATCGTCAGAGACATAAAATGCGATTTGGAAAAAAAAAACAAACTGGAACTTGTTGGAAAAGAGAGTTGGGTAGGCGTACATAGGTGTTGAGCTGGCGGACGAAGGAGGAGAAGTTGTTGTGCTTGAAGTAGTTGGGGAGGAGGTCACGTGCGAATTCCGGGGGCCGCCAGACGACGAAGGTGGAGTCGTCCTCTCCCCAGGAGACGACGTGGTCGGTGGAAGGGTCGTCGACCAGCTGGTAGGTCTTGGTCAGGAACGGCGCCGGGACGGACTTGTGGTTCTCTAGCGACAGGAGGAGCCCCTGCTGATCGCCGGCCAACGGTGGGCTTTCCAGCATGAGCGCCATTTTTATGGGGTTTTAATGATTGCGAAGGAAGTGGGAAGAGAGAGTATATATGTGGGAAAGATTGGAATGGGATCTTCTCCTTCTCCTTCTGCTTGTTCTTCTTCTGTTTTGGCTGTGATAGGCGAAGGAGGAGAGCAAAGAGGGAGAGAAAGAAATAGGTAGAGAGAGAAAGGGAGTGAGTGAGGGTGGAAATGAAATGAAATGTGGGGGAAAGATGGAGGGAGGGGGATAAAAATGGTGTCAAAAGGGAAGGGTGGCTACAGCTGCTAGCTACTGCGAACTGTACTATATGTATACACGCTGTGTTATTTAACTTGGCTGAACGAGAGTAATTATTAATTACTTTCATAAATATTATTTTTAATCATTAAAGTGTGATTAGGATGATAATTGAGGCCAACCCCTGATAACACAAAGCGGGTAATATTCATTGTTGAGGGATTTCGGATGGATTGGGTTTTACCCGCTTTTTATATTGGTGATTTGGGTTTGGATTTAGACAAAATTCAATCTGCTTTCCATCTGAACCGCAACCACACACCAAAATGACGTTGTTTTGTATCTAAAATGAAAATTTTGGATAATTCATGGATGATACTGGTCTCTATGATTGTATAAGCCTAATCATATAGATTGTTTATTAATGTTATGTATTAGTCTTCTATACAGATATAGTGGTAGAAAATTTTAAATAGTATTACGATGTGAGTGTTCGGATAAATAGTGTATAATTATGTTGGTGAATTCATGGGTACTCGCGTTGTGTTGGATTGGGTTTGATTTGCTCTTCCAAAACTCAATGGGTGTTCTAGTGATTTTTTTGTAATGGATGTACTCAGTTGAGTTGGATGTTATGATGATATACATAAGTATGAGTACCAAAACTCTTGTGTATTGTTCAAATATATACTTTCTCCCCAACAACACAAACCTTTAATAGCTAAAGATGAAGTATAGCTAGTTTAGTTTGGTTTAGTGGCACACTTAGTGAGATGACAACATAGAGAAAGGGGAGGGGGAAGACGTCAAAACTGGTTTTGTTTTGGAATCGCTGTGTTTGGGTTTTTGGAAGTGTCCTCCTCGACCTCGGTTCTGGTAGTATAGACTATAGAGAGAGAGAGAGAAGAATATGTGTCTGTGTGGAGTCTGAAATAAGGGCATTTCAAGACAAACCCGTGACCACACTTCTTCTCTCTTCCTCTGGCTGCCCCTTCTATTTTCTTCTCACCTTACTTCTGGCCTCTGCCAACTTAAATATATATATTCATTCATTTCCTTCACATATAATTTACATTTTTCATTACTCTGACAAATCGATCCCTCGCGCGCGCACCCACTTGAACAAAAGAAAATACAAACAAATGAAAACAATTGCAGAAGCAGCAGAAGCAGAAAGCAGAAGCCTGTGTGGGGAAGAAGAAGAAGAAGAAAGAAGGAAGGAGAAGCTCAACCAGGCAGAGGAAAGGAAAGAAGCATTTGTGCTGGCTGGCTTTTGGGACTTGACATTTATTGATTTCCATGAATTGTTTTTGTAACATTTATGTACGTATTTCAGGAGTCAACACTTTGGTATACCAATTGTGTACAAAGTCTAAATGACATTTTCCCCACTGTCTGTCTTTCCCCCCGGCCAGTCCCTCCTTTTGGTAGTTCCTTTATTACCCCATAAAGACGTTACTACTACAACAGTCCCACCACCATTACTTTCCCCAGGCTACCTACCAAATATTAGTAATTCCCACTTTGGTACCCATATTTTCCCCCGTCTTCCATCCAAGTCCAAAGGATGATGCTTTTCCAAGAGTGTGTGGTCAAGGAACTGTGGTTGGTGCATGGAAGAAGAAGAAGTAGAAGGTGGGGATCCATGTGCGGGTTTTCGAGTTTCTTTCCTTCGTTCTTGTAGTTTAGCTTTTGTTGTTGTATTGTAGATATCTCATTTGTATATAATAGGGAGCTTAATTAGATGGGGGGAAACACGAACACACACAGTTCCCGATTTCGAATCATTTCTTCCATCTCTCTGTCTCTCTCTCTACATGTGTGTCTAGCAACATGGAGAACTCAAACCAAAAGGCATATATGTTATGTGTTAAGCATGGAACTACGTGCACTTTGCTTTGCTAGATCAGGGATTTAATGTTTAACTAATAACCCGAACCCCTTGTTTTAGTTTTAACTTATTTTGATTTGATTTAACTACCTCCTTCTTGTTTTTGTTCACTTTTTCCTTCTAGTAGTACTCCTAACTTTCATGACTAATAATGCCATTCATGAACCATAATATATAATCCATGTCTTATCATTCTTGATACAAATCGTACAATCTCCTGATGATCGTATTAGACTGGTATGATTCATATTAGGAACGATAAGACATGAGATTTTGAATTTTTAAGTTTTGAGTTTTGTACTCTCATTTCCCTTCAACTACAATTCCTAGATGGAAGTATTAGTAAGTATATTCTTGCTAAAACATCTTGCTAGCTTAATTGTATCCACACTATTATCTTCTTTATTATTATGAATTTCAAAGAAATTTCTTCATGAACATTGATTATCCACAATACTATTACATCGATCGCTAATAAATGCTCTGGTTTTCATTTTGTTTGCCTTCCAAATTTGTCCCTACTAATATGTGCATCGACTCATCATTATCTTCACCAGTTCTTTAATTAGACGACTTGATTATGTGTTAGAGTGTCAAATTATTGAGGCTCGAAATATTTATTATTGATTTTGGCCTCTTTTAGGTGTTTCTTATTAAACATTTTCTTTTTGTGTACTTGACAAAGATTGCAAATATGCCCGCATTAATTACTCTTCCCGATTAATATTCACCTAGCAATACATTTCCCATGCATCTCTTTTTATTCTTTGCCTTGAGGCATGGAATTTTATGCCCTGTCTTTTTTGGGGCTCCTAAACAATTAATGTTAAAAGTGCCTTGATATGTGGTGCCCTAAAGCTAGATAGCTTATCTTTTTCACATTTACAAATGTAAAAAAATGATTAATAAATAAAAGAAAACCTTAAGCTGTGCAATGGGTGACTTTTTCTGTTAATGATCAGTAAAAAAAGAGTGTGTAAAAAGTTGAGGTCCCAAAAGTTTAAACTATAGGAGAAAGGGCGAGAAAGGAAATAAAGAGAAATTAAAATGATGAGCAATAATGTCAATGAGATACACCAACTGATTGTTCTAATCATGCCCCATGATTCTCATTGTTGGGATATACACAAAGCTAGAAAAAGTGCAAATCTTTGGTATTTGGTAAATTTTTTGCATGTTTTACTATATGTGAGGGCAATAACTTCATATATATGTTTCATCTCCTTGTTTGTTTTATTAAATAATATGTAATCAGTAAAACTATTTTGTTATGTTGGCTAGGGCGTCAAGTGTTTTAATTTTGTTATTACGACATATTGGTTTTCCAGTATTGTTGTTTCCCAGTATTTGTGGCCTGACCTTGATATCTGTTGACCAGTACATTATTTCGATCATTTTCCTCCACTTGTGGATGATTTATTTTGTTCGGATAGACTTTTTTTTTTTATGTGTTTCCTACTCTATGTTATATGCTCTTCGTTGTTACTTGCTAGTTACCCTAGTGTGAGACTTGGTACGTGCTCGCAGAGACTTGTCGCTTGTTATATATAAGAGTCCATGAATTGGCAGATAGTCGATTGATATTCTTTTTTCCTTTCAACAAGCTCCTGATCGAACCTATCCACTGTTTATTGCCCGACTTGAGATCTGAACAGTTCCAAGTGGCTTGATTCAATCGCGTGCACCAACTATAGGTTTCTTATAAGATGTGTATATAGGTATATGTTCTCATCACCTCTATATATACAAAAGTACCTGACCCCAAACCAATAAACAAACTGTGTCTCATCGATCACATGCAGTACTTATAAAAGAATTAAGGTGGCCTAATATTGTACTCATCAAAATTAAAGGATCGATCTGAGGCAGTGCTAGCTAGAACTAATATATGCACAAGTAAGTGGTCATGTGATATGAGAAAAGATACACTCCTCTCCTCTGAGGGTTCTTTATCGAATAGTCCAAACATGCTGCTGCATATATTTATATGTACAAGAACAAGAGGAAAATTAAAGAAGGTGACTATAGAAACTGGCAAGAATTGCAGCTCTCTGTCAGATTCGACTCCCCAATAATTAATATTTCAATGCCAAAACATCAATTGAGAATTCATATGAAAATAAATAAGAGAAGGTAGCAGGTAGCAACTCTGTCTGTGCCCCTTCTGTTCTGATGGGTTGGTTTTTTTTTTTTTTTTTGCACCTAAAAGAAGGTGGTCTCATATTTCCTTTCATTTCTCTCTCTGGTTCTCACGTTCATTATCGCCATAGATACAACAACCCCAGGCTCACTGTACTGGAGCCTGCTGAGGCTTTGCAGCGGCTGACATGGAAATTGTCCTTTGTATTCTTATATATCTATGTGTTGTACACTGCAGCTGTGTGGTGTGGGAAAAAAGGGCCTTTTGCCATTCTCGTGATGCCAATTTTGTTCTCTTTTGATGAGTATTTCATGTTTGTACTGCAAATTGCAAAGCCATTCCCATCCACTTAAGTACTTCGTGTTACCCTGCATATTTCTGGGAATTCATCTATATAAAGTTCTTCCAATTAATCTCCCTGAAAAAATAGAAAAACAAAAAAATTGGTTCTATTACCTCTTTGCATCCAATAGCACGCTCATCCTAGTTGATACACGGGGCGATATATAAGTGCATACTAACGTTGTTGGATTGGTGCTCACGTGTCTCCAAATTGTTGGATCGATTTTGTGAATTATTGAAAAACAGTGTGTCATACCCGATTCAATTATGCTTGCGTACATTGATTACCTCTCATTAGCATAATAATTAGATTTAATTTCACTTAGCAAGGATGCACGATCCAATCTTACAATAATATCTGATGTACTATAATTAAATCCATAATTTTGGCTTATAATAGGATGGAATGGTATCTAAATGTTTTCTTCTCTCCCTCCCTCCTTCCCTTTTTTTAAGTAAATGTGGCAGGTGATACAAATCTTAAAACCATCCAATCTTGACCTTGTTGACCAGATATGCCAGGGAAAATTGGTATATTTTCGACAAGGTACCTTGAAATACCTAGTTTAGCTCTCCTTAAAATAATTGAATCACTACAAAACCAATCCTTCCTTTTAGATCTTAATATAATATAAAAAATTATTTCATTTCAA